TATTCTAATTTTTCTCGAGTTTCACCTGTAGAGCATTGCCATAATTTTTCACTGCTGTCCTGAGTAAATGTACAACCTTACAAATTCCCCAAAGAAAAAACAGGTAATTAGCAATGGACCAAGAGTATATATACTATAGTTTATTAAACATTTGGGTGGGGGCAGTTTGGACGGGCAGGAACCCAACAACTGGTTTGGCTGTATATGGAAGGAGGAGAAAACTTTGCTGTGGCTGTGGCTCACTATGGAGGCAGATTATGACTGAGCATCAACAAGCACTGAACAGTATGAGTAGGAGAACAGAACTGCTGTTAAATTATTATTATACAGTATTTATAAAGCGCCAATCGTTCGCTCAGCACTGTACATTACAAATATGTTGCCTTCTGGGGACAGAGGGAAATCATGACTAGGGTAATTCAGGTGGATCCCTTCTCCATAATACTGCTTGGCCTCCCCAACCTTGGCTATAACCTTTCATTCCAAAACAAAAAACAGACCACACTTAAATGGTGTCTCTTATTACCAAACTGTCTCTTATTACAAAACTACTAAACCAATCTTGAATACCAATTAACAGTAAGGCAGTGTTGTGTTCAAGGTCCCTGAAGGCAGTATAAAACAGAACAAGGGTCATGTGTACGTGGAACCAAATTCTCTACATTAGATTTTCAGCTGCATAACACTGACTTAGGGACAATTTTATTAACTGTTTTCCAGACACTACTTAATCTATTAAGCACCTGGTCACTTCAAGTTGAATGTGCTGGAAAAGGAGAAGCCAAACCCAAGACAGGTCCCATACAATTTTTTTCACACCAAGTTGACTGCCTTCGAGGCATATTATTTATATATATATATTTTATTCCTAGCACAGAAATGTACTTATTTACTTTGTTCATGGCACTCTTGTTTGAAAGTCTCATAGCTGTATATCTGCAGTGCGAGATCATCAAAGGCACTGCTGCCTCTTAGTACTAGTCTCACCAGATTTGAAGTGAGATTTGGCTATACCACTACTGTGTTTTGCATGGTTCTCAATGCTGGAACAAAAGCTGTACTTTATAAGCTGTAGTTCAAGAATCTCCCTGCTGCTTCTTCATTCATTCTGTAAATTTGTGTCTTATTTACCAATCACAGCATGCCAACAATAAGCACAGCTGTTAAGAATCTAACCGGTTCATGACAGTTCAAACGATTATTGTTACAGTGTAAAATAATGATTTTTTTTTTACACTGTAACAATAATCGTTTGAACTGTCATGAACCGGTTAGATTCTTAACAGCTGTGCTTATTGTTGGCATGCTGTGATTGGTAAATAAGACACAAATTTACAGAATGAATGAAGAAGCAGCAAGGAGATTCTTGAACTACAGCTTATAAAGTACAGCTTTACAAGCCAACTGTCATATAGGAAAAATGCTGCTTAACATAAAATAAATCCTTTGCTAACTGACAGTTTTTTCTTTTACCAGCAGCCTGGAGAGAGAATCAGTTATCAGCCCTGAGCTTAGGCAGAGGGCAGGACAGCCTCTATGGGGGGACTTAGAGCCTGACATTTGGCTAACATTTCTGCTTTGGTATTGAAAATTTTCAATTTAGGATTTTTTTTCAGTGGAAATTCTCAACTGAAATAGTCCAGTTATATTACAAATGTTGCACACTTACCTGCAGTCCAAGGTGTGCACATTCATCCAACCCGAAAATGGCAATGCTTTTACTTAAAGGGATATGGGGGCATGAAGGCTTCTTTTGGATGTTTTGTCCTCTCTGTGTCTTTATATACTGCTGCAATTTGCAAACGATGCTTTAATTAATTTGTAACAGGTTCTGTCAGTTCCTGTATGAATATGTTCATTAAAAAAAATATTTTTTTCTGGAGACTTTATATAATGAGCAATTATCTGGAGACTTTATACTTGTGAGAATAAGACGTATCATTATTCTACCTAGTTTGGGTCTCTCTTGAATTACTGTAAACACACGCTTTAATGTGAAATCCTGGTTTTAATATAAAGAATTAAAAACAGACACCTAATCAGAGGCAAAAAATACTACAGACCGGGTGAGAGGGTTCCATAACCCAGATCATCACAAGTTGCAAGTGACTCTGTTATTTTCAACTGTTCCAGTTCAGTACACCTTACACCACAGTTTATCACATTGAGACGCATACTGCCTAGCCCAGCAATGGGCAAACTACGGCCCGCAGGCCGTATACGGCCCGGCGGACCTTTTAATCCGGCCCGCGGAGCTAGGCTCCTCTCACAGTCCGCCCTGAAGAACGGTGTAGCATGAAAATCTGTCTCCTATGAGGATCTGTCCCCCTCGACGTATCTGCGCATGTGCCGGAGATCGCCGATCGGCTGCTAATGCCTGAAACTGGCACATGCGCAGATACGTCGAGGGGGACAGGTCCTCATAGGAGACAGATTTTCATACTACACCGGAACGGCGTGGGAACACGGCGAGAGGAACGCGCGGAGCAAAGGTAAGTGAATTGACACAGGGGGGACTTGGGGACTTAATATGGGGGATGAATTACTATAGGGGGATGAATTACTATAGGGGGGATGAATTACTATGGGGGATGAATTACTATATGGGGGATGAATTACTATATGGGGGATGAATTAATATGGGAATGAATTACTATAGGGGGGATGAATTACTATATGGGGGATGAATTACTATATGGGGGATGAATTACTATGGGGGACGAATTACTATATGGGGGATGAATTACTATATGGGGGATGAATTACTATGGGGGATGAATTACTATATGGGGGATGAATTACTATGGGGGGTGAATTACTATATGGGGGATGAATTACTATGGGGGATGAATTACTATGGGGGATGAATTACTATATGGGGGATGAATTACTATATGGGGGATGAATTACTATGGGGGATGAATTACTATATGGGGGATGAATTACTATGGGGGATGAATTACTATATGGGGGATGAATTACTATGGGGGGGTGAATTACTATGGGGGGATGAATTACTATATGGGGGATGAATTACTATGGGGGATGAATTACTATATGGGGGATTAATTACTATGCTTACTATGGGGAATATTACTATACTTACTATGGATGACACATACACATAATTCATCTACTCTTGGTCTGGCCCCCGGGTCCAATATATGAACCCATTGCGGCCCTCAAGTCAAAAAGTTTGCCCACCCCTGGCCTAGTCCATTCAGTACTACGGCCTAATGCTTTTTTATTCCAAAACCGCAGGACTTTTGCTACAGCACGTGCTCCCTGCAGACAGAATTACACTTAGTATCTCATTTCAAGCCTCTGCCAGCTGTAAAGAGACTTCACCAGACTAGTTCACCACCTGTAGAGATTACAACTCTGCTGAAGTCTGCTTCCATTCCTTTCTTCAACTTTGACAAATTCTTGCATTAATCTTCTGTGTTTAAGAGACCTTACCCAGTTTTCCTCATCACTCTTAGGGGAATCTTTCTGTTGCTGTACCATCCTGAGGAATCTTGCTCTTACACAAAAAAGGATCTCAACCTGGATGTGCACAAACTAGGGCCCCATCAAGTGTGTAGAAGATTTGTTGTCACTCTTTGATGAGATACTAAAGGGAACAATATTGTTAACAAAAAATCATCTATAGAGTTAAACCCTGTTCTCAGCTATTGAGGACCCAAAAGTGAGTTCACTCTGTATCTTGATAGCCTATTTCAGCTCACTTGGAGAAAGCTATCTCAGTCCTATGCCATTATGAGGAATCTTGCTCTTACACAAAAAAGGATCTCAACCTTGATGTGCACAAACTAGGGCCCCATAAAGTGTGTAGAAGATTTGTTGTCACTCTTTGATGAGATACTAAAGGGGACAATATTGTTTACAAAAAAATCATCTATAGAGTTAAACCTTTTTCCCAGCTATTGAGGACCCAGAAGTGAGTTCGCTCAGTATCTTGATAGCCTATTTCAGCCCACTTGGAGAAAGATATCTCAGTACTATACCATCATGAGGAATCTTGCTCTTACACAAAAAGGATCTCACTGGAGCAAGACTCCAGTTCAGAGCCAATCCTCTGGACCTCAGGGACTGGAGCAAAACCTATTCTAGCATAGTGATATTTGGTACCAACACAATACCCTGATATAGTGATAGATGCTTCAGAGGTTGTGGGTGTTCAAAGAGATGTCTTGCATATTTGGTGGTCCTGTTCACTGTTTGTTGGTCCAGGACATTTGGCATTCTCTAAACCAGGGGTCCTCAAACTACGGCCCGTGGGCCACATGTGGCCCGCCGAGGCCATTTTTCTGGCCCACCGGCCGTGGCGTATTTGCCGCGAGGAAGGGACACTAAACTAAGTACAGGGGTGGGCAGGGGGGCTGCTATATCTTACCTGGCTCCGGTCCCAGTCCCATGACAATCCAGTCTAGGAAACGCTGCTCCTTCATTCACTCCGGCCACTCCCTCACTCGATGTTCACGCTGCCGCTCGGCTCCGCCTCCTTAACGGTGATTGGGCGCCAGAACTGTAGCTCAGGAAAGGCACACAGGCGGCCAATCACCTGCGAGGAGGCAGGGCTGAGCGCCCCCGCGAACATCGAGTGAGGGAGAGGCCGGAGTGATGAAGGACAGCTAACAGGTAAGTGTGCCTGCAGATGGTGCTGCTGCAACCAGGTATGCTGGCTGCAGCAGCACCATGCTGGAGCAGGGTCAGCAAGTTAAGTGTCATTGGTGTCAGTGGGAGAAATAGTGCCCCATCACTGGTGTCACTGATACTAATGATGGGGCATTATTCCTCCCACTGACACCAATGATGGGACACTATTCCTCCCCCCACTGACACCAATGATGGGACACTATTCCTCCCCCCACTGACACCAACGATGGGGCACTATTCCTCTCCCCCCACTGACACCAACGATGGGGCACTATTCCACCCCCCACTGACACCAACGATGGAACACTATTCCTTCCCCCACTGACACCAATGATGGGCTACTATTCCTCCCACTGACACCAATGTTGGGACACTACCCCCCCCCCCCCACTGACACCAATGATGGGGCACTATTCCCCCCCCCACTGACACCAATGACCTACTGTTCCTCCCACTGACACCAAAGATGGGGCACTATTCTTCCCACTGACACCAATGAAGGGACACTATTCCTCCCACTGACACCAATGATGGGACACTATTCCTCCCACTGACACCAATGTTGGGACACTATCCCCTCCCCCCACTGACACTAATGATGGGGCACTATTCCTCCCACTGACACTAATGATGGGGCACTATTCCTCCCACTGACACCAATGATGGGGCACGATTCTTCCCACTGACACAAATGATGGGGCACTATTCCTCCCACTGACACCAATGATGGGGCACGTTTATTCCCACTGACACCAATGATGGGGCACGTTTCTTTCCACTGACACCAATGATGGGGCACTATTCCTCCCACTTCCGGTGCCGGTCCGTGCGACTCATTCCCCAGTCAACACAGCCTGCGCTCAACTTTCCGCTTTCATTAGCCGTCCAGGAAGTGTGAGCACATGGAGGCTAATGTACCTGCAGCAGGACGTGTATAGGGAACATCAACTGACTGACAGCAACTGAGCACAGGGGTCTTTCTCCCAATTTCACAGCCACAGAGTGATTTCAATCCCTGCCCTGGTTCCATTGAAGAGGAATATCCTATCCTGGGAGCTTCCTGACCTGCAGGATTTCGTTTTCCCACTAGAGGGCGTTATCGTCATCCATTTCAGCACATATCCATTTTCTGACCAGAGGGAGAGAGGGGAATCTCCAGGATTTCTTACACACATGCGTATTTTAAATGCGCTTCTGGTTAGTTTGCATTCTTTCCATTGGCACTGGGAATTAATGAGCACCTTTTCAGGACTACTATTGTGTTGATTTGCATGATTTGATCATTTTACAGCGCTGCATTTTTATATGTATATGTTTTACTGAGGATTTTTATATGCGTTTTATCCTGGATGTTCAGCTGCTGTTTCTTTGAGAGTGCTCACTGTGTGTCCTTTACCTATACAGCAATGTTGGGACACTATCCCCTTCCCCCACTGACACCAATGATGGGGCACGATTCTTCCCACTGACACAAATGATGGGGCACTATTCCTCCCACTGACAACAATGATGGGGCACTCGTATCACCAATTACATTTTTTCTTCCCACTGACACCAATGATGGGGCACGTTTCTTCCCACTGACACCAATAATGGGGCACTATTCCTCCCACTGACACTAATGATGGGGCACGATTATTCCCACTGACACCAATGATGGGGCACTATTCCTCCCACTGACACCAATGATGGGGCACTATTTCTCTCCATAAGACACACTTGGGGGGAAATGTCTGTGCGTCTTATGGAGTGGCCGGCCCAGTATTCCCACCGCCGTTGTATGTCCGCAGTCTCTGGTCATCTCCTGTACTGTGTCCGCAGTCTCTGGTCATCTCCTGTACTGTGTCCGCATTTGTTCATAGTTTCTTTTTTTTTTAAACTATAGTCCGGCCCTCCAATGGTCTGAGGGACAGTGAACTGGCCCCCCTGTTTAAAAAGTTTGAGGACCCCTGCTCTAAACATTATTCAATATAGCTGTGCCAAAGAATGCACAGATGGCTCTTCTGCCACGTACTTATTTTTGGCTACTACTCAAGTGATTGGTAAAGCTTAGAAAAAGCCCAAGTGGCCAAAGAGCATATGCATTTGATGATGATTTATTTAAAAATTCCTAGTATCTTGAACAATTCACAAATACATTTCTAAATAAATAAGAACCCTGGCTTACCTAGGCTTCCTAGGCCTTGAATCTATCTAACCTGAACTCTTTGTAGTCTATGTATTAAGACTAGTCCCAAGGCTAAGGGAGATCCATTCCCCCTCTTTCTACCCCCCTACTAATCCCACTTTAATTACCCTCTCATGTTCTCTAACTGCCATCCCTCACCTTTTAACCTTCCAGGAGCTCTCTTTCACTTTCTAAAAAGTCTTCAGAATCTCCTCTCTCTAATACCCCCCACCACTTTTTGTTGTCTCAATTGAAACCATGTGCCTTTGTGTAAGTCCGTTTTCCTATCCAACTCTATTAGGCTCTGGATAGTCTCTTGTTGATAAAGGGGTTGTATACTCTATGATCCTCCTGCGCTCAGCTGTACCTCTGAATGAAGCTATTACATACCAAAATGGACAATAGTACAATAAAATGATGTGGTGCTCCGTTTATATATACAACATACCAGAAAGAATAATAGCATATAATAATTATTCATATATATAAAACCAATATCTAAGTGTGCTTGTATGTGACTAAAATTACAAAAAATTTTAAAATCATGAGACAATAGTCCCAATAAACCCAAGGGTGATGATGGAAATGACCTCCCCACTTCTATGCTAAATTGCACACACAAGGGAAAAAAATGACAAATAATATGTGCCTAAACTGATAAGTTCAGAAAGAAGGATAAACCATTAAATAAACCATATAAATCAGTAGAACAGAAAAAAAACTGTTGTAACTGAAGATATTTGCAAAGATCATTTTCTGGCATTTATTGTCTGTTGTGGGCAATTTACTTTCTCGCCATCAGCACTGTTCGGTTCAGGGTAGAAGCACTTTTTCAGCGGTGTTAGCTGTTCGGGAGAGCCCTGCAGTGGTGCAGGACTGCAGGCTGGGGAAAGTTCCTGCTGGCATCAGATCAGGCCAAAGCTTTTGATCTAGTCAATCATGAGTACCTATGGCTGCTTCTTGGCAAGTATGGCATGGAAGGGGGCTTTATCGATTGGCTAAAGACTTTATACAGAGGGGCTGAAAGCTTCATGCTTGTAAATGGTTGGATTGGACAGCCCTTTGAGGTTGGCTCAGGTGTGCGTCAGGGGTGTCCTTTGAGTCCTCTGCTATAAGCGTTCACAATTGATCCCTTCATTCAGAGGTTAGAGAGCAGACCGTTGTGTGGAGTTCCTTTGGGCATTCCTGGGAAGCCTCCTCTGAGGGTCATGGCCTAAGTTGATGATGAGTCTGTTTTCACCTCTGGGATGCAGGAGGTGGAAGAGGTAGTCTCGGTGATGGAACAGTATGATGAGGCATCTGGCTCAAAGATCAAGCAGGATAAGAGTGAGGTTTTCTGGATGGAAGAGGAAGTCAAAGGCTTTACCCTTCCGGATGCCTTCCCAGAGCCCCAGCCAGAAATTAAAGTTTTAGGCATCATATTTGGTCCAGGTGATTACGGCCTTGCAAATTGGGTAAGCAGGCTACAATTTGTTGATGCCAAGGTTGCTAGCTGGAAGGATTGGAAACTCTCTTACAGGGAAAGGATTGACCTGCTTAAAACTTACCTGATCCTGGTATTTCTGTATGCAAGCTCTGCCTGTGTTTTGCCAGTGTCTCTCTATGTGAGGATCTACAGTGTTTCTTCCAGCTGTTATGGGGGAACAAACTGAACCTCATTAAGAGGTCTGTACCCTACCTTCCCAGGCAGATGGGTGGCCTAGGTATGGTCAACCCGGTGGTTTTTATTTTCTCTAATGTTTTTGAAACATAATTTTGGTAGCATGCTGGCAGAGGAACCGCCTGGGTGGGTTGGTATTTTTCAGTCCTGGTTTAGGCCTTTTCTGCAGAGATGAGAGAATGGTGGGCCAATGAAAAGCCTGAGGGTCCAACATGGTAAGCTCCCGGGTTATGTTGCCCCATGCCTGAAAATGCTTCGGCAATGGCAAGTGATGGCGGAGGAAATTAAATCTCTTCCCAGGAAGGCCCTGGAGAGGAGGGCTGTTGAATCTGCCTTTAGCAAGCCATCAGCCTTGAGGGATTGCCCAGGTCCTGTTATGAGGGAGGGTCTGAGTTTGATGAATCTAGAGAGAATCCCTTTAAAGTTTCGGGATTTGGCCTCGCTCTTGTTCCATGGCAGACTCTATGTGAAGGGAAACCTGAAGCATCGCTCTGCGGAGAACCATGGTTGTCTAAGAGTGGAGTGCGGTGGGGTGAAGGAGATGATGGACCATTTTTTGCTTCAGTGCTCCTTCAATATAGAAGTCTACAAGCGGGTGGGTGGGGCTCTGGGTATCCCTTTCCTTTCCCGCTTGAGTTACGCGGAGTGGTCTTACGGAGCCTTTCAAACTCACTCGGACTTTGATTTCGAGACACTTTTTTTAGTTAGCGTAGTAGTCCATTACTACACGTGGAATGCACGGTTTTAGGTTTCCATTCGCAAAAAAGTCGTTCCTGTCGAGGTGGAGGTGTACAACATTCTGGGTGAGGTTGGGAAGATTCAGGGTCTTGAGAAGGACAGGTGGTGGCCGGGAGCCTGGACAAAGGCGTGGAGGAATGTCAGGTCCCCGTAGCTGCTGTCTGTTAATCTCTGGGTGCGTGGCCTCTCTTTCTGTCCTCTCACGTCCCCTAGATTTTTGTAAGATCAAATTTAAAAAAAAAGGCTGCATGCATGGGATCAATGTTTAATAATTTCTCAGCCTGAGGGGGGGTTTAGATGACGATCGGGTTTGTTAAGATGCATTATAAAGATAATAAAAATATTAAAATATGATTGGTTCTGTTTTATTTTTTCCTGGTAAAAAAGCTGTTTTTGTTTTCTTTGCTGAAGTAAGCTGTATATGTATATATATATATATATATATAATTCTGTATATATGTAAATGTGTTTTTTATTATGTTGTTTGTAAGATTTTTAATAAACAAAAATTTACACTCCTGAGATAATAAGCTGTCACTGAGAAAGACAGAGCCTTTCCTTTCAAAACATACAGTAAGCTTGAGAGATAAGCTGCCAAATCCAAATGGGAAACGGTAGACTTGGTAAACCCATAAATCTTTTTTGACCCTTGGGATAGACAAAAGGACAGTCTGATTGCTTAATTGTGGCTGTTAATTTAACAACAGTATAGCCCCAATCACAATGTGGAAATAATTGCTCCCTGGCGACTGAGACCTAGGACTGACAAAAGGCAACACAATGTCCTGAGTGAAATGGAATGCTGAAATCTCCTTAAGCAAAAAAGATCCATCTTGTCATGGTGAAGTACCAAAACAGCTTCTTGCAAGAAAGAGTCACCAATTCTGATACCCTCTAAAGGAAGGTCCTGAATAGGCTCAAACAGAGGTCTTTGTAGAATAGAAGGGATCAGACTGGGATCTGACAGGAAGAACAAAATGCATGACACTCTGCACAAAGGCATGCACCTAGGAGTGAGAAGCAACCAGCCTCTGACAAAGGACTGCCACAATCTGACTCATGCTTGTACTTAAAGGTAGATGCATGTCAACCCCAGTCTGGAGGAAATCCAATATATGTCCCATAACTTATTTGAGAGGGTGAAAACTCCTCTCCTCACACCAGGCCACATAGGACTTCCAGGTACTCTAGTAAATCCTTGAAGTAGCCTTTTCACTCTCATAAGTGGATG